ATGGAGGGATAGTTTTTATATTGGCTGAATTATTGAGCCTATTTTCCACAATAGCATTTTCTATAAAAAGTACTATTTTACCCTTACTAAAATTATTTGTAAGATATATCCTTTATCTTTAGGAATTTATTATTCATGACCTATATCTATATTTTTCAATCTTTTGAACACTTTTAAATATTCTCTGTATCTTAATAATTCTTCAAAAATCCTAGGTTGTCCTTTCTTAGTTATATATCCTAGAACTAATCCTTTTGAGACTTCTTCTTGTATATCTCTATGTTTAATTATAATATTATCGATCTTTCTTATTTCTCTACTAGTTCTTACAGAATCAAATTCTATATTATATTTACAATTATAATCTATATCTTTATATATTTCTTTAATTTTTTCTATGCCAACAGGAAATATATCATCAGACTTTTCTGCTAACTTAAATAAGAACGAAACATCTTTTTCATATAAAAATAGTATAAGATTCTTATCATCATTAGTAGTAGAAGTGGATGCTTGTGAATTGTTCATCAAAATAATTAAAGCATAAGGATATAAAACAAGTAATAACTTACAGTAATCAAATGGATATAAAAAGGCTTTCCCTCCAGTATGTTCTTATAGATGTTTTGCATGTACTTTAATCAATCTTCTGAATCAAGTAAAGTTTTAAAATGTTTTGAAATCATTTGGGTCCACAACTGCTTTCGCAAAAGGTTTTTCAATTAAGGTTGCATTTCTCATTCTAAAGAACTAGCCATGTTTCCACAGACGCTATCTCATAGTATCCAGAGTCTCTGTTTTCACCTCTATCCAAACTCTTTTCAAAATCAAGTTCCTACTTGGAACAAAACTTTAAAAGATAACTCACACACAAGGTGCTACAATTTTGTTAGAAATTGTCCTTTTCCCCTAAACCATTCATCAAATATGGGTACTTTGGCATGGCTAACATCCATTCAAAATCAATGTTTTGAAAATCTTTTAAAATCTTTATCTGTACTGCCGAGGAATCATGAAAAATTTAACGAAATCCTTTTATATAAGCTTTGTTGAACATAACAAACTTTACTTTGATATTTATAAATTGAAATTGTACATGCTTACAAACTATATTTATATACCTTTGGTACTCACTTATGAAGTTTAGAACTCCATACATGATTACCTTATTACACGCTTTCCTATTTTCAAGCTATCTAATATTTTTTCTGAATACAAGTGGTGTATACAGATTACAAAAGATTTCTCTCAGATATGTTTAAGAGATAAGCTATTTCGAGATGCCTTCCTTCTTCCTTCATGCCTCTTTTTATAGGATATTTTGGAATCTTATCTTCGACAGGTGTTTTCCATCTTTCTTTGTTGCGTAGCTAGGCCATCTTATCTTCACCGAATTTTTTCATTATCTTCTTGCTAGTGGATCTCTCCTTTTGAAATTAGATGCCTTATCTTTTAAGTTTGTCTGCCACTTGTAACAATTGGTTGGTGAGTAGTTACAATAATGAAGACTTTTTCTTACATTATTTCCTGTCTTTAGTAGCCATAGTTTTTTTTTAATAAATTTCTTTATTAAAGTAGTGATAAAGGGCTACTATTGTTACCATCACTTTTCCATTTTTGAATCAAAGAATTCTACAGGGAATTCTTCATCATTAAGGGATGCTTGACTCATATCTTCTACTACACAGTATTCACAATGGTGATCATTGTAATTCCAAAGTAATTTACATAGTTCTTTGGCCATATCTTCTGATCCATTTACTTGGTTGGAAATAATTGCAGATAATAAATGATCGAGATAACAAATATCTCCTTCTTTGGTAGCCATCCTTGCATTGGAATATATAATATGATTTTCAGATGGATAAACCCATATTTTTTCTTTCTCAGTAATTATCTGGGTTACATGTTCAAATATCTCTTTGTACCCTTTAGCTCTTCTGTAGGGCATCATCTTAAGAATATCTTGATATCCATTTTTAACAACATTTTGATTGATTGGTAAAAAATGTTGATTTGTAAGTCCCATTTTGATCACATGGAACGATGGATGCATATATTCAAGGACAGGATCACATTCCATTGTTGCTGAATGGAATCTGATATATATATTTGTTGTTTTAATAATTTCAGTATATCTTTTAACAGCTTTCCTAATGTTGGCTGGAAGCTGAGCTATCTCTTTGAGATCTTTGCTAAGATATATACAAAGTATATTTCCTATTTCAAAGCAATTTCGAACCCAGTTGGCTGGTGCTCCTGAATAAAAATTTATCTTGTTGTATTTTGAATAGTGGAGAGTCTTCATCCACTTTTTAATCTCCAGATACCAATCTGATAAAATATTGAAAATAACAATAAAGAGTGTTACTTCTTCATGATTATCTTTTCTGGAAATTTTTGCTTCATGGCATATCTTGACAATATATTTAGGATCTATTCTTTCAATAGAAAGTTTAGATTGAGTTTGGCTCTGTGAAGAGCTACCTTTTTCTTTTGATATCTTGAATATCTTTATTACCAGTAATAGGTTTAAGTATTCCTCGTAAAGGGGTTCCTATTACCTTCTTTTCTTTCCCTTTATCCTCGGGGAGAGCACTAGTATTTACAAGTCCCTGCGAAGGGATACTAGTCTTGGTACAAGTAACTTCTGCCTCAAGGGCTATATTTTTGCCTCGAATGCTATCTTGGATATTTTGGATTTGGGTTTCCAAATAGGAAACTTTTATCTCAAGTATTTGGACTTTCGTCTTTAGTTGTTCTAGCTCCATCCCTGCTAAGATAATCAGGAAGAAAGTTAACTTTTCCTTTAATATATTCAATATCAAATTTGAAATATGAGAACCAAATTTGTATTCTAATAATATATCTATTAGCAATAGATGGATCAACATTATTTTTCAAAAATGCTTTGACTTGAGTATTGTCAGTTCTAGTCAAGAACTTCTTTGGTAATAAATAATATTCATATTTTTGAACTCCTCTTTTAACAGTAATGAGTTCTTTTCTGTTTGTCTCATATCTTATTTCAACTTCTTTGAAGGTTCCTGATGTATAACCTGCAAGTATCTCAAGACAAGCACAATCTTTTTCACATTTATATTCTTTATGAT